GATCCACCATGGCCTGGAATCAGCGTGGAAATGAGACGCTGACTGCAACTGCGAATTCTTCGGTTCAGTGTGCAGTAATAAAACAATCTTTCCAACGCACACCACTTATGCGCGGGGGCCGCAGACAGCCAAATTACGCAATTACGTAATGTAGGCACACGCGCACACACAGTAACAACAAATAAGTAAACCATGATGCAACGACATCAACGCAGACACAGGCCGACCGTGAGCCATTGTTGTAGCTGTCACATCCGCATTGTAAAAATTTTGACACGAACGCAGCCGCGGCTGCGACACAACACGGCATGAAATCCAACCACGGTCACGTCGTGATAAAGTTGCTATTTTCAGTCAAAAAAAACCTCTGGACATTGCACTAGGGGGAAAGTGCGAAATATGATCTCTCAAAACCGTGGCTGCGTGTTCCAACTGGGGTGCAGAATTAGATAACTGGGACTTTATACAGTCCATGATTGGGTCATCGTGACACAGGAAACAGCCAATGCAGACATCACAGTGCCAACAGGGCAAAACTAGGCAATACCAACTCGCATTTGGGAAGTCCTGCCTCTGTGCTTTCTGCATTTTGATCTGACCACAGCGTCACAATGTACGCGAGTCTGCGTTCAAGACTAACATGACATCACAACAATTACTATGATGGATTTTCGCGTCACAACCTGGAGATGCTGTTGCATAGGTCTTGAGTAATGTTTGAGGACTGAAAACTGGAGTACCTCCGGCGAGGAGCGTTCAAAGTTCAAATGAGGCAGGGGTGAGGAATAAGTCGCTGTGGTCCACAGAAGATTTCATTTGGAAGCATCACAATTTTCCTCCTTCCGCCTCTTTCCACGTCACTCTTCACGTATTCGCGTGGAATATCGTTCAGTACCGACGAGATATTGACTATTTTTGTGACGCAATCAAGAAATATTTACTGCGAAGGTCTTGAAGTTGAATCAGTTGGAAGACTATTTTGCGTGACAACCTACATAGCTTGATTGCGGAAATCTCAAACAAGCCACTAACTGCTGCGAAGAAGTAGCAAATAACTGCAGGAAGTCGACGACGAAATCTTACTCCAACAACGAACTGGCTATTTACTCTGAAAACCAGGAGGGCCGACGGAAGTGGTTGACCAAGTACATTTGCTACAACCGTTTCCGGTTCTACAAATTACTGACGACTTCCTCCAGCGAAGCAAACGTACTTTCCTCAATTACAGAGAGAGCAGTCACGCAGAAGAAGACTTGGTGCGTTGCGTAGCCTACAATTAAGGTGCAGAAATGGCATTTTTGATGCGACGGTGACTTGACAAGTGGACGGGCTTTGACGAAGCGGGCGGTCTGAAGCACTGAGTACAGGGAATACGTGAGTCAACCCAAAGATATTGCCAAATCTCGACCACTGCTGCTGCTGCTTTTGTTGTGGAAGGGGCCTGCTTGTGGGCACTTACGAAACCGCCACTTTGATAGCTCCAGACGGCAGACTCAACAATGCCACGGGTAAGGTGGAAATAAAAGGACACTTTTTCATTGGCTACTGCAAAAAAAGTAATTCATACGAGATGTAATCAGGCGTCTGCAATCGGCGAGGCAGAACTGCACGTGAACTCGGCACTCTGGTGAATGAATACGGCCGAAATGCAAAAATCGCAGGCGCGTTTGTGCACGCAAACAGCCTGCGCCGCCGACTGCCCTCGTGACTTTACGAAAGACGAGGACGAAGCGAGTGGCAAAAGTTGTGCTACTGCATCTACGTCAATCCTCCACCATTCAGATCCAAATCTCAAGCTAATTGTCATTTAGGAGCTAGTGTGAAGTGACTGACTAGCTTGACACAATACCCACGGAAATCCATTAGGGGAAGCTGGGAGGTACCGAGGTTGGAAGTGACACAGTTGATGTCTGAATGTCACGCCAGCCAACACGGACGCCATCGGCGTGTTCCAAACACCCGGAAATAGCCGACTAAGTGGATGAATGCCCTTCCCAAGGAGTAGAACACCAAATCACCCCTCAGATGGAGTACGACGAGGGATTGCCACGACCCTTTGCGGATTCACTGAGAAAGCCAATACAGTCGTTGGCGAGCAGGCAGCAAAAAGACTGTCAGGTTTTTATAGGCAAAAAAAACGGTTGAGAGAGGCACGACCGTGACTGCCAATTAAGGCGACGTTGAGACGGGGACAAAAGCGTCCAAATTAAAAGCGACTACTTGAAAAAGCACAGGCTGTCAAACGCGAGGCTAGGACAGTCGCAATGTTGTGATGTTAATTAGTGCCTTGCTTCTGGTTAAAAGAAAAAGAAGACGTCACTAACTTGACACACTCCTCGTAGTGAGAGGGAGACTCGTTCCGGCGCCCCCAGCACCGCTTTCGTGAGGCCGAACGAAGTATTCGAAGACGCGCTCCAGCGCCAGGAGGTGCTTGTAGTTGTTGTCGGCGGAGGCGAGTTTGACTATCTGCCGCCAGGGTGGACGCAACAGGCTCTGGGAGAAGATGTTGAGCACGAGACGGGGATCGTCGAGGCGATCGATTTTCTGGCGCTCATCGGGACGCGTGAGGCGAGAGGAGAGACGCACCTTCAGGACGCGCTGATGGCACAGGATGAAACCGACGTGCTGCATCACGTGACGGAGGGTCGCGAAGCTGCGTTTCGGCAGAGACGACAACAACGCCTCCAGATCGGCTGGTCGGCCAGACTGAGCTAAGGAAGATCAGAGGCCGGCTATACAGGAGCTAAGCCAAACTCAAGTTTACTGGATGTCAGAAGACATCCTGATTTGTTCGTTGTTTTAGTTTGGATTATCGCTGGGCGCCACTTACAATTTGCCAACTGGACGAGCGAAATCCAGGTAGTTCTAACGTTGTTGAACGCTCGTGAGCGTCAACCCTTCGTAGACAGTTGTTGTCTACAATTAGGCACGGGGGATAGGTAGGGTTTAATGCTGGGCTTCAGGTTATGCTAGTCACGCCTGCCCCCATTTCTTCACGTAGGCTCAAAATTAAAAGTTTACTGGCAAGACGCGCGGCAGACGGCGCGAGGTGGCACTTAAGGCCTCAAAACTTGACAGGCAGGACAGATAAAGTGACAGATAACCTGAACACGCGGAAACTTAAAAAAAAACAACGAATTGCGGGCGCCTTGGCAACGACAAACTGGGCCGAGGTTGGAAGGGTCCTCGCATTCATCAACGAGCCTTGATGAACTTGAGCCTCAGTTGCCAGCAGTCGCGACTTGCCCTCATCACCGTTCGCGCTAGTTTACTCATTCGTTAAACCTGCCAGGATTTTAATGCAGTTCAGTCAGTCGTCACAGCTTCCGACACACTGCTCCATCCCCACCCTACTTTTCAGAGCGTGCCCATCTGCTCACACACCTTCATGCATTTATCTCCCCCTCACATCGCTCCTCATCCTACTCCTCTGGCCAATCACCCATTTGTACTTTTACAAGTTCAGCCGGACAGAAAAGGTCAACAACCAACTTAATTAGGCACGATGCTTTATGGACAGTGGCGCGACTAGGACAACTTGCGAAAGACACCGAATAAGACAGTAGAGTAAATCTCTTTGGCCTTGTCCCATTTCTTCGCAACTTCGGGTTGTAATGGGTCAAGGTACGTCCTGTCATGTCGTATATTATCAATGATTTAGCGGCTAATAATATTTGATCAGTTAAGCACCAATAAGAATTGTTTCGTAGAGTTAACTGATTCCCATCCCAAGACACCCTGTGGTGGATTAACAGCGATCGCGCCTGAGTGAACCCTGGTTACTGACCTGACGGTGACAATGACTCATCTCCTTTCCATTGGTTACTGTTATCAGATGCCTGTCATCCGTTCACTGTCGCCTCTCTTCTCTCCGTCCTCGGGTTGTTACGTGCTGTTAACTAGAGGGTTGTAAGGTAGTGCTTAGACCACAAAACACTATAACCCGTGATGCCAACAAACGGTCGTGTTCTTTGTCGGGATGTTAATTAGCAGGATTGTAAGGTAGAGCAAACAAGCAACCTTATGGCCATAAACTCCAATTCTAACGCCCGAGTAAGGCTTATGCAAGTTGAGGTTCATTTTCGCAATCAGATTACCTCCCAATTCTTCATGTATTCATATGTTGTCGCACTGCCACCGACAGACAGTGCCGCCAAAGTTATCAACTTGCTTGATCCAGTGTCCTCCGATAACCCCTATAAAAAGTTGAAGGCTGCTATTATCACACGAACGACCTGCTAGAATGAGGCCCGTCTTCGACACCGCCTTTACGGTCTCTGTCCCCACTCCTCTTGTTTAGGTCGACGACTCGATTCTCCCGTCAATCACGAATGCAATTATCTCGTTCTAAAGCTGATAACATCCACAAATGTCTCTTCCAAGGAGTGGGAAATCAAACCACCTCATCTGGCGTAGAAGCTAGCACGAACAGCTTATGGGCCAATGGGCTGCGAGGAAAAGTAGCCAACCACCACCAGCCTAGTCGACCCACTGGTGACCTGGCCGGCCCCTGGGACTCGCGGTTCGATAATTTTCGAGCGCTTGCCGTTTCTCACAGCCAACAATCTCGGTGGGAGGAATATCTATACTGGCCTGTACCCCTGACACCATCAGGTCAGTGATAGAGGCCTGTTAGCATTGGTTACCGTTTATCAGGCGTCAATTATGGCTGGCGCGCAGCTAATAAACGGCCGTGCCCACCGTCGTCTTTCTTCTCGGTAGCGCAATCAAGCAAGCCACTACAAGCACAACACACGGAGGACAAAAACACAAGCGCGGCTAACGACGCAGCACGTAAAATTTGGCAAATTTGAACATGGGAAGAAACGCGTAAGACACTGTCACTAGGTGGGCACGCACACGCCCACACAGAAACAGACCTCGTTACAAGGCACACGAATAAAGCCTTGTGCCTTGAAGACCACAACTTCCAGCAAAATCCAAATTCAGGTGTTGGTAGATGTGTGAAAATTGGGTTAGGCGTGAGAGTGTGGCAGCTGAGTTTAGCACTACCTTACAGCCCTCTAGTTAACAGCCCGTTTTAACCCGAGAAGAGGGGCAAAGGAACACGACCGTTTATAGGTGACACACCAGCCAAGTGGCTTTGCGTGCGGATGAGTAAGCGTGCGTAATAGAGGCGACTGCTAACAGGAGCCAATAACAGAAAGGATGAGTCAGTCGGGTCGGCATACACGCATCACTCACGCGGAGTTGCCGGCTGTCCACTACAGAAGCGCGTGACGTGTGGCCAGGTAGAGGATTTTCCGCGGGCAGCAGAGCCAGGACCCCCAAAAAGGAGAGGGGCGACAGCCTAGCAAGCCCGTGGAGGCGATTTAAAGATCGCGCCGCAATTACCAATCGCAACTTCTCGTCTCAGGTTGGAACAGACAGAGGTTCTCCCATTCACTCGTTCCCTCTTTCGTAACTTCCGTAACATAATTACAGATGGGATTCCGTTAAATTTTGACAAAAACAGGCATTCTGCAATCCGACTTTTTTTGAGTGGTGGTCAGGAATCAAATATCGGCATCGCGTCAGGGTCGTGTGACCAATAGATCAACATGGTCCATACTGGACGTAAGTCACACGGAAACTGCCTACGATGGGAATTCGAGTAAAATGTACAACTTAAATGGCACACTGTGGCAGAATGAAGACGATGTGACGTTGGATAGGAAGCATTTAACTGTCTAAGGCGTCTTCCGGGATCAGGGAAGGAATTGAATGCGCTGTTTTTACCGGTTGGCATCGAGGTGATGCAACTTACGTAGACCTGTTCTTCGGCATTGCGAAACATTGCGTCCGATCCCCTCGAAACCACAAAAGACCACAAAACATGCCTCTTTTCACTGCAATGTTTGACTCAATGGAAAAATCTGTGAGACTTGCGTCATACGTCTAGTAACTGCAGACTTGCACGATCTCACTGGAACACGAAGCAGCACTACACCACCTGCCACAAATCAGGCTAGTTGCTGACAGAGAAAAGGAGGTTGGACTTACTGGGATCAGTTTGGCCTGCCAGGCTGACGGTGCTTTCGTAGAAGTCAGTGGGAATAACGGGC